CGTAGGTTTGGGGTCACCCTTCTAACACCCTGGGTCGCAGCCCAAGAGATTCCCGCTTCTTTCTCTTTCACAACTCGATCCCCACAGGGGTAGACCCCACAGGTCGGGGGTGGACAGACCTCCTACCCTGACACGTCGATTAGTGAACTTGCCGTTTTCGGTTCGCGAGAGGGCGTCGCGGCCGTCATTTTTGCGGGTCCAGGTCCGTCGGTTTCGGTCCTAGGCCGTTTTCACTAAGGGGAGGTTTACTAAAGGGAGGTTTGTCCACCGCCGAACAGGCATATGTCTTACCACTAACCATTACGTATGGGACGGTGGGTTTGGGTGGTTGATTGTGGGGGAACATACGCTGCCGACTTTGATGAGGGACACCCAAAGTGCACCCTCCTTCGGCTTCCACAGCCCAAGTGTGCACTGGGTGACTCAGAGGCGTACCCCGTCTCTTCATGCCGGCACTCCTTCCTCCCGTCACTGGTGCGCTATGCGCTTCCCGCCTTGCGCTCCCGTTCCGGACACTTTGGTGGCACCTCTCTCCAGCTAAGGTTCGGGGTGGTCCTACAAAAGTTTGTATCAATCAGTCTGTTGCCGATCTACGCTTCGCCCAGCAAGGCAAGGACGACGAGATCGGACAGTAGAGTTGGCACATTTGGCAGTCGATGGACACCTTTTTAAACACGACCTACCTCATCGTTGCCAGTCGCAGACAGCACACAGTTAGGTTCACTGCCACAGCTTCTACGTGAGCAATCTGCCCACGCACGAATACTGGCAGCACAGCGGCTGTACCGAGTTTGCGCTTGGGTGGTGGGGATGGAGGTACGCGGGGATGTGGGGGGTACACGGTAAGGGCGCCAGGCGCACGCCCCACTTTTGTTGCTATAGCGACACTTTCTTGCAGTACAGCGTGATCCGTCGTACGACGTTACACTTTCAGGCAAGCCTCGCTGTAGTCAAGAGGCGATCACCGCACTCCGACCCGCCATTCCGATTTGCTGCTCCAGGCCAGCCTCCGCACACGGGCCCGCCCGAGCGGAACATCGTATAGCTGCGCGTCTCGCGGCACAGGATGACAGATCAGGTGCCGGACGCTGCATTTCAGACCGCCTATGTGGCCAGGACCAGACAGCACAGATTGTCACGCTGTTTCTCTGCCCCAGACTCTACGTGAGCAATCTTCCGATGTATGGATTTTTACAGCAGCACAGCCCGTGCAGAGAGTACAGCTCACAGTGTCTTGGCAGCTGTACCTAACCACAGATAGGGCACGCTGTTATATTTAATAGACAAGCCCAACAAAAAAGCAGCCTGCGACACCTATCACAAGACTACTTTTGCTGGTCACTATGGGTTCGTCCTAAGCCCAAAAAGATCCATACGAAAAGCACGAGGGCCCCAGTACCGAGGTGGTTCGGGGTAAACCCAAAAACCATGGGCGACAACCCTAGAACTGCCACGATGTACTGCTATTCTGTCGACGCTGCAATAGCAGCTCGCGCGACTCACCCCGCACCTTTCCTTCATACGCCTTCTATCTCCATGCTCTCGAGCAGCAAGCGCACTTTTTTCTGCTCGCTGCAGTCTGTCAAGATGGCACCTATGCTGTCAAAGGGATGGGGGTCGGAGGCCGTTGGGATGGCGGAGCGCACTCGTGCACGGTTAGGGGTTAACCAAAACCCTGGGCAGCAACCCTAGAATTGCACAGGCACGGCGTCGCTCTGCATTTGTTATTTCACTTGATTGTTTGTCCACCAGCATGCACCTCAACGTGGTTTCTCGTGGTTTCTGTTATGTGTTCATATTGTGCTTTTGCACTCCAAGGTACATGCTGGGACATTGCCGACCGAGGCGGCAGCACCGACTGAACTAACTGGCGCTTACCTGATTTAGTCTTATATTATTGCTGGAAGTATAACGGATGTGTTTGCTGTCCTCGAGGACTTGGCGGGCGCCTAGTCTCTTTATGTTCTCCCCGTATTTTTCTCAGCTCATTTCCCGCGGCGCCCGCCAAGGTTGTTTTCTGCGCCGAGTCGCTTCCCTACAGTCGCAAGAACGCCACATGATCACACAGAAGGTCTGGCCAACGCAAAAAAAAAGGGAGGGGGGGAGGGGGAGGGAGGAGGAGGAGGAGGAGGACCAGTGGAAACCCAAGTGTCTTCAACAATGTTGGAATAAACCCTCCCCCCAAGCTCCCTCTTCACAGGCCCCTACAACGGTTCATGCCCATTGAGGGAACTGCCGCGCTGGAGGACAACAGTTTGAGCATCCTGCAGCGTGCCAAAACATTGTTCTCGGGATTGCAACGCCACGTACCAACCTGACTGCTGATCTCGGCGAGCCATAGTTGCGCCGCAACGCCATATTTGGGACTCAGCACAGCGGGCCGGCATAATCCTGAATCTTTCCAAAGTATCATGTTCTGGTACGCTGATCCTGGGAACCCGTGATACTCTTTCATTTTTATACATGCATACAAACAAAAAGAAATATTGCACGCGGCGTTCAGGCGAGAGCCACAGTTTGTGAAGGAAACGTCCTCAATCCGTGAAGTTCTGACACATGTTAAGAACGAGTGTAAGCGGCGCTGAGGCGAGAACCGCATTTTGAAAAAGGAACCGCCCTCAATCCGAGAAATTCTTGCAAATTTCTACAACGTATGAGCGGCGCTAAGAAGAGAACCACATTTTGAAAACGACCCGCCCTCAATCCGCGAAAGCTCTTTGCAAATGCTTAAAGCGAATGCGCGCGGCGCTAAGGCGATAACCACATTTTGAAAACGACCCGCCCTCAATCCGCGTTTCCTGCGAATGTTTAAACGAATGCGCGCGGCGCTGGGGCGATAACCACATTTTGAAAACGACCCGCCCTCAATCCGTGAAACTTCTGTAAACGTTGACAAGGAATGTGCGCGGCGTTAGGGCGAGAGCCACATTTTGAAAACGAGCCGCCCTTACTCCGCGAAGCTCTTTGCAAATGCTTAAAACAAATGCGCGTGGCGTTAAGGCAAGAACCATATGTTGAGAACCACCCGCCCTCCATCTGTGAAACTGTTGCAATTGTGGAAGTTCAGAATTATCAATGGTGAGGAAGTCTCAGGCGAAACGCCGGGCCCGCCCTAAACACTTGCCCCGGGGTGCGACAGGGAGGAATTATCGATAAGGAGGAGGAGGAGGAGGGATTTTCCCCTATAGAACGGGTCGGCAGCTCCAACCGCCCCGTCGGCCACGGTTTGACGAGTGCGGCCCCAGATTCGGCAAGGCAAGACAAGGCGAGGTGGCTTCCAAGATAGGCGCGGAGATGACACGCGATGGTCCGCGGTGACCTTCTTTGGGCCTCCAAGGGGCTTCCAGACCACCACAAAACAGCCCGAGGTGGCGATGGAGCCTTTTCAATGATGGCCCCGAGATGACAATGCCATGTAAACGCATGTGGTGGCTAAATTGGTTTAGCCTTGCCGTTCTCTTGTGATGAGCTCCCGAGACCTCATTATGGTCCAACGATCGCCCAAAACAGGCTCACGAAGGGCATGCCCCGTCCAAGTTTCGAGAAGGTCCAAGTATTCGAGTATTCGTGGCGGTCAACAGTCCCCCTACTGGCCCAAGGGGACTCCAAGACGCCCCGGGGCATCCCCCACAGTGCCACTGACGGAACCCTGATCAGAAGGGCCCCGAATCCGCCCCCAAAAGAGCTCACGAAGAGTCCCACGAGGTTCCCCCCCAAACCTCGAATCCGAGGCCCAGCCCAGCAGTTAGACTCTGCCTGTCCCTCTTCAGGAGGAGCATCCAAAAATAATAAAAACATTGTCGGGGACGGTGTTTTTTTTTTGGGGGGGGGGGTATGTTTGAGCATGATTTGACTATTTGTTTCGCCCAGAGTCCGCCTGTAGAGGGACATGCCCGACCCAGACCAACAGGAATTCCTCCTGTGTTCCTCGGCCTTCTCTCCGCGATGGTGACCAGGGGCGGCCACCGCGCCGGATTGCCAGCCACATCCAGTGCACAGGCACGAAGGGAACAAAATTCGTCCCTCCTCTTCCTCCTGGTCCTAGTCCTGGTCCTCCTCCTCTTCCTCCTCCTCCTCCTCCTCCTCCTCCTCCTCCTCCTCCTCCTCCTCCTCCTCCTAGTAGCAGTAGCAGTACCAGGAGAGGTGGTAAGCGCCTCTACGACGGGGATGAAGGAGGTGGGACGAGATGACCTGCTGAACGACCTGCGCCCAGAGGAGGACAAGAGACAAGACTACAGCCGCGCCCAGGCGGCGCATTGGCAACCACAGTTGTGACGGCTGGCAGCGTGCGGGCAAAAGCGAATATGAATAAATCAATAAACCAATAATTGATTGCGGTGTACCCGGCTTGGTTGCCGGCCATGGCACAATGTTGTACCCCACGGGACGCGATGCGTTAACTTGCACTACGCTGGGAAATGGGGTAGCAGAAGGAAGAGGAAGGGGAGGAAGGGTGGAGGGAAGAGGAGCGGAACAGTCGCCATGCTCATGCTTGTCGTCGCCGTCCCTTTCGTGGTCTGATTTGCGCATGGTTGCGACGCGCGTGGACCTACAGTGCGTTGGCGAAGCATGCTAGAGTGCTGCAGATCTATGTACACACATACACATGCATGTGTATATCAACCGCGTTTGTTCAATTCTATACCTATGTATAGATATATATATATATATATATATATATATATATGTGCGGCGCTTCATACACACAGACGCCTCGCGTGCAGCAGAGATTGGGTACGTTTCGGGTTGTTTCAATCTGGGGTGCCCGGAGGCCCCAACCCTTTCCCTCGGGCCTCGTGCATCCCGGGCCGTGCTGTGAACGCTCCGGGGGGGCCCGGCGGGGGGCCCCGCAGGCCGACGGCGGCCGAAGGATCTCCCGCCGCGACGCGTTGCCGCGCGGGCTCCGCGGGGCCGGCCGCCGCCCCCTCATGGGGGCAGGCGAAGAAGAAGCTCGGGTGGAAGTGCAAGCACACGCTGAAGGAGCCCCCGGGGGAGCCCTGGCCGGGAGTGCCGCCAAGGCTGCTCTCTCAGGGGCAGCGTTTCGGGCGTCAGGGGGGGCACACTCCGGGGGGGGGGGGGAGTTTCGGGTTCGAGGTTCGAGGTGTTCGGATGTGTCCGTCAGTTCTCGATGGTTCTCCGGCCTTGGGATGCCTTCCAGCAGTTGCGCCACGCCGAGATCGTTGCGGGGATGGCCCAGATCGTCCCGAATGTTCGCTCGAAAGCCGAGCTGTGACTCCAAAACCAGGGGGGAACGTCAGGGGGGGGACAGGCTCGGGGGGGACATCCTGGTCCGATGTGGTCCCAGTCCTGACCTCGTCTTACATCGGGGGGGCGTAACGGGGGTCAGCGCTGACGGGGGTCTACCAATCCTCAGGAATGCAACAAAAAAAAAACAGACACAAATAATCATCGATTCCCAGAAACTACGTGGAAATGTGGGAAGTGGGGGTGGAAGACGAAAACCCAGAAAATATGTGAAATGATTGGGAATCCTGGGATTTGTGTCTATGTGTGTGTGTGTGTCCTTGGGTCATGGGCCCCTTTAAATCCCCTATTCCCAATGGCCGGTCTGGGTTTCGGAGCCACGTGGAGCCGAGCCCGTCTTGCCGCCTCCCGCTGACCCGGGGATTGGCGAGCCCCTTCCTGGCCAGACGGGGCTCGCGACACGGCCCTGGCTGACATGCGCTAGCGTTAAGTCGGGCGTGTCCCTCTACAGGGGGAAGATTCAAACAAATGGCATAACACATAGGCTGCTAACGATGCTTTGAACGTGTTTTGTGCGTGAGCGTGTGTTTGATTATCTCCATTTGTCGCCCAGAGTCCGCAGGTAGGAGGACCTGCCCACCCTCAGTCTACCAATCCCCCTGCTCCACCTGGCTGGCTGGGGCTTCGGCGCCACGCGGAGCCGAGCCCCACCCTGCCGCCCCCCGCGGACCCGGGGACTGGGGAGCCCCCTCGTGGCCAGACGGGGCCCGCGAGGTCAGCGCTCACTCGGGTCGGTCTCGGCCTCCTCGATGGGGTCGGAGTGGACGGGGTCGGAGGGTGGCGCCGCACCGCTGATGCGTCGGGGATGCATCGGCGATGCGTCTCGACGTGGGGCCCAGTTTTGTCCACGCCGACGTCGCCGATGCACCGCCGACGCAACGCCGATGCATCGGCGATGCGGCGAGATCCTCCGACCCCATCTGCCTGGACCCCGTCCCGGAGGCCTCCGTGGGATGCGGATTCGGGGGCAGCTCTCGACGGGCTCCCGGCCAGGAGCGGGCAGGTGTTGGCCAGAGCGTCGGGCCGCAGCAGCTTGGACAGATCACGCCCAACAGCTGTCCACCCTAGGGCGCCTTTTTATTATTTTTGTTTGTTATTATTTGTTTGTTGTTTTTCTTTTTTTTCTCTTCGTTCGCCTTCACCCATCGGTCGTTGAAAGTAGGTATTTTGGGATTCCCAGATTCCAGTCTACTTTAAGCGTCTTCCTACTTCAACGACCGAGTGGCTTCACCCTTTCCGTCCCTCTCGGGGGGCGGGCGGAACCCAGTCTATTTCCAACGCCCTCCTGCTTTATGTGTTTCTACCTACCTCTGCCGACCGATGGGTAAGGCCCCGTCTTCCTCCTTCCCTCCTCCCTGGGGCGCGTTCTCCAAAGAGAGCCCGCCGGGAGAAGCAGAGGGATTCAGCGTGGGCCCCGGACGCCGCCCGCCGAGGTGCCAGCGCCGTCTGGGACATCGCCGCTGCCTCTCCCTCCCTCCTCCTCCTCCTCCCCCTCTCCTCCTCCTCCTCCTCCTCCTCCTCCCTCCTCCTCCTCCTCCTCCTCCTCCTCCTCCTCCTCCTCCTCCTCCCCCTCCCTCCTCTTCCCTCTCCTCCCCCTCCTCCTCCCTCCTCCTCCCCCTCCTCCTCCCCCTCCCCCCTCCTCCTCCTCCTCCTCCTCCCCCTCCTCCTCCTCCTCCTCCTCCTCCTCCTCCTCCTCCTCCTCCTCCTCCTCCTCCTCCTCCTCCTCCTCCTCCTCCTCCTCCTCCCTCCTCCTCCTCCTCCCCCTCTCCTCCTCCTCCTCCTCCTCCTCCTCCCCCTCCTCGTCCTCCTCCTCCTCCTCCTCCTCCTCTTCCCCTCCTCCCCCCTCCTCCCCCTCCTCCTCCTCCCCCTCCTCCTCCTCCTCCTCCTCCTCCTCCTCCTCCTCCTCCTCCTCCTCGCATGCACGCGCGATGGGCGCGCGCCGCTGCCTCGCAGAGCGCCAGCGTGGACCCTGGGCAGGGGCCGCCTGCGTGCAGGCGCTGTTTGGGAAGTCGTCGTGGTCTCCGCCTTGCCCGCATCCCGCGTTCCCCCCACCTCTGCAGGGCAGCAGCAGCAGGAGAGAGATGGAAAGAGAGCTGCAGTGGAGACCCATGCCGAGAAGCACCTTGCCTGCCTCCATGGTGCCCTTGGATTCTTGGGTTTCGATGGTTTTGCTGTGGAAAGCGTGGCGCTTCCACACCAAAACTCCATGGACGTCCTGGGGTCTCAGGATTGGGTTTTTCTTGTGGATGGTTTCTTGTGGACTGGCCTCTACTGGTAGGAGCCGTAGGGCGCGCCGAGAGTGCGGGCGATCATAGGTCTTGACTTGCGCAGTCCTCCTCGCCCGCTCTGCCCTTGGCGTCCCAGACAATGCGACGTCCTGATGTTTTCAGGACGGCGTCCCCGGAAATCCAGACCCTTGCCCCTGTCGGGGCTCAAGAGACGGGGGTCAGGGGTCAGCCAGCGCGCCGGATCTTGCAGGATACTGCAGGGACAGGGTCGCATTGACTTGGGTTTGGGTGCAGGATCCTGCATGATCTTGCAGGAGCCTTCGCATTGACCTGGGTTTTGGTGCAGGATCTTGTAGGATCCTGCAGGTCCTGACTGACCCGGGTCTGGGTTGACCCGGGTCAGAAGATCCCCGACCCTGGGCCGGTTTTTCATCCTGAGTCGTTTCTGCACGGTCCCGGGGCCCGGCGAGGGCCCTCAGGGACCGAAAATAGGAAATCACTTCCCTGTTGGCCCGAGTGGACAATGTTTGGAGTTTTTTTTTCTCCCAGGTAACAATGCCCCCCTGGACTACCTTGCGCGACCGAGGAGTGATTCTTTGCCGAAGGCGTTGCTCATAATCTTCTCGACGGTTTCCCGATTTTTTGTTCACGGCGCGATCCTGTTTTTGGGGGGGGCGTCGGGCGGCGCCGTGTGGCCGCGCGTGCGCGCCGTGTCCCCGACCAGTGGTGAGCTCCCCTGCGGGCCACGCGCGGGCACCAGCCACTGCCAGCTGATGCAGCCCTCCTCCCCCTCCTCCTCCCCCTCCCTCCTCCTCCTCCTTCTTCCCCTCCTCCTCCTCCCCCTCCTCCCCCATCCTCCTCCTCCTCCTCCTCCTCCTCCTCCTCCTCCTCCTCCTCCTCCTCCTCCTCCTCCTCCTCCTCGCATGCACGCGCGGTGGGCGCGCACCGCTGCCCGTTAAAATAGCACCGTGCGGGCCACGCGCACGCGCGCCGGTGCCCCACAGCGCCACGATGACAGCCGGGCATCGCTCGGACGTGTGCATTCTTCCTTCGGCGGGGACCATCGAGGAGCATCCTTGATCATCTAGCGAAAAAGCCACGCACGAAACCGAAAAAAACACAGGGAATGGACGTCCGAGCGATGGCCAGGCAAGCGGGCGCGGCCCGTGGATGGGCTGGCCGCATCATGTGGCACACACAGTGGAGGCCCATGCCAAGAAGCGCCCCGCTGGCCTCCAGGGTACCCATGGGTTTCTCTTGGGTTTCGATGGCTTCGCCGTGGAGAGCGCCACGTTCCCACACCAGCAGTCGACGGACGTCCTGGGGTCTCAGGGTTGGGTTTCTTGTGGAGGGGTTCTTGTGCTCGTGCCCCCACTGAGGATGGGCGTGGCGACGCATCCTTCCCTGTGGTGGCACGGCAAGAGCGGCCGACAACGGAAGGCCGTCCAGTTGGTACGAGGGCGAAGACGGGCCCTGTCATCGGAGGGGGGTCCCCTGTGCCTGTCGTGCCAGGGCTCTGCGCCACTGAATTCCTTTCGTTGGGTCACGTTCGCAGGGCCTTGGGCCTCTCGGCGAAGGGTCTCTTGACCCGCGTGAGCGTCTGATGAAAAGTGGGTCGATTGCGCCGACATTCGCGCGTGAGCTTCTCGCGTAAGGCCGCGCGCAGGCGCCCTCGTTTCCAGCGTGTCATGCAGCGCTGGCGGCCTGGGCGTAAGCCGCGGCGTAAGGTCGCCATGTCTTACCACGTGAGACCAGCTTTCTGCGTCGCTCACGCTCTTGTGGCCACGGTTCGACCGCAGCTTCTGCAGTTGTGGATGCGAGTGAGGGGCGCGGGGGGTCGTTGGCAGTTGGCGAGGTTCGACGGCAAGTGAGACGAGGCCCGCCGCAAGACCTAAAACGTTGCACAACGAGCCCACCGCCGGCGTGCACCTCTTCTTGTGGAGACTCTCTGGGTGGGTCGTTGGTCGCGGGGCGGGTCGCGGGTGGGCCGCGGGGGGGCCTCTGGGCGGGCCCGGGGTTTGGTTGCGGGGCGGGCCGCAGCAGTGTCGCGGGGCGGGGCCGGCCACGAGAGGACGAGCACGACTCCGCACCGCGGAGCCGCGCTTCGGCCACGCGCCCAGGGGCAGGGCGAGACCGACCGGGCCCCCTCATTACAGTGGAGGCCCATGCCAAGGAACGCCCTGCTTGCCTCCCAGGTGCCCCAGGTTTCCTGGGTTTCGATGGTTTTTTGCTGTGGGGAGCGTGGCGCTCCCACACAAAAACTTCATGGACGTCCTGGGGTCTCATGGTTGGGCTTTTCTTGTGGAGGGTTTCTTGTGGACTGGCCTCCAACGCGAGTAAGCCGGAACTCGGGTTTGCCGGCGTTTTCTGACGAGCACGTCCTGGAGTTTGACGTTCCGGTTTCCGTGGAAGTTTACAGCGGGAGTTCGCGCCAAATGTCAGATTAGGTCTCGTCATTTTTATGATTGCCCCGTCAGTCGGGTCTAGCCAGGACCCCAGGTAAGGGG